CTCCCCCCGCACTCCACCCCCCTGGCCGAAAAAATGCCACCCAATAAACGCTGGAATATTAAAAAATTGAAATCTGTTTAATGTGTTTACTCGACCAGCGCAGGGGAAAATTTCATTAAAAGGGAAAGCCCGGCCAGAGGATGCGAAATAGGATGTCGAAGTGGGCGGAGCGGGGCGGGTTGGGTCGGGTCGGGGGCCAGTCGGATGGGAAATTGTGGCGACTCATGGCGCAATCGTCAATTATGGCCAACAAGGAAAGCGGAAAAAATATTGTGTTCGATAATCAAACCGAAAATGTGCACAGCTTGAGTCAAAATAACGAAAGGGGGATGGGACCAACAAAAAAAGCGGCCGAAAACAGGGCAACAAAAGGCGCAGAAAGCGTAGGAAAATCGGCGAGGGGCAGGACTTTTGAGCAGCAGGATATGCGTACATTTGGCTTTCCCCTTTTAATACTCAGCATTACAAAATGGAAGGGTATATGTCTTGACTAGAAAAAAATAAAATACAGAAAAATTCCAATAAGTTTTTAATAGAATATTAAAAAGAAAGTGTTTTTAAATTAGCTCAAATTGTTTTTAAAACAACGAAAAATTATTAAAAGAAATAGTCATTTTTAAAAAAGAGCCCTAAGCTATTATACACTTTTTTAATCCTAACTGGAGTTTAAGGTATCACTTAGTCGAACCACAGGACTTGATAGTTTTTTCGGGGCTTTCTCCCATTTTTTGTACTTTTTTTTTGGCAATTTGCCACCCGCCGCACGCGTCGACGTCGACGTTGACTCAGTCGCTGGCAGGCCCATAATTAAATTACACATATTTTAGTTGGGTGCGTGTGTGCATGTGTGCAGGCCTGCTGACTTGCTTTTTCCATTGTGCGTCCTGTTTGCCGTTCAGGACTTCAAGACCGCCCCCTCACCCTCCTCCCTCGCCCGCCCTCGACCCTTTGGGCATGACTTAGACATCCGGAGAAACCGAAAACTCGGCCGTGAGTGTGAAATTAAATATTGCTTTGCGCAATGTTTGTGAAAGTAAAGTATGTAATCACTAAAATGTTGCCGAAGTATTTTAGTAATTACAATTTATATGAAAAGAAAACAAATTTTAGGATTCCATAGTTTTTAGGCCTTGAACTTTATAAACTTTTCTTCATTGCCTCTGATGGTCTAAATAAAATTCGGCCCATTCCAGGAAACCTCTAGAAGATTATTTTTAAAACATTTTAATTATATTTAATTAAAATATGTGGATTTTAAGTAGAAATGCAATAAGTTTATTATTCATTATTCTTTCAATTCAATTTGATCACTATTTAATGAATGTTAAGTCTGCCGCTCGGACAGTCTTAAGTGGACCTACAGTAATCTCTCCAAATGGGCGATCCAATGGGTTAAGGACAGCTGCCGACTGCGAAATGAGATGATATCGAATCGCTGACGGCTCACTCGACCGAAGCTGGAAATGGAAGTGGAAATGTGACCTTGAATGCCGTATATGCCGTATATACCGTACATACACATGGACAGGAGCGGCAGGACTCGGATTACGAATGCGCTGCGCGTGACTTCCAGTTAAGTCCTAATTATGTCAGTAACTCATACGAGATTGCAGAGGATTTCTGGGAGGATGGACCGGGGATGGGGAACTGCTGCGTGCCTGACACGTTCCCCGCACGGCGGTGACGCAATTTCCAAAAGATTTGCAACCGAAATACACAAAGGTGGTCCGATGTCCTTCGGTGCAGGATGTGCTATACGCTTTATAGCATATAGCACATAGCATATAGCACTATATGCCATCGGGGGTTGATGCGCCACCCAGCCGAAGCCAACTGAAAATATCTGAAAACAACTGCGCCAGCCGGCTCTCGTCACTCACTCGCTGCCCAAAACAGATTTTACACTAAGAAAAATAAAAGGTATTTTGAAAGCTTCCAATTTGATCGCTTTTCTTAAGATAATTCAAACACGTGAAATTATTTCAGGGTTAGTTCAATTAAATACTAATTAGATTAAAACCATAAATAATAATGATTTATTTTGTTTACATATATTTAATTAACTAAAATCCACATAAACTTAGGGATTTGGTTTTAAAATATTATTGCAATTTTTAAAGGAATCATTTCTCGCTGTGCAGCTATTATAATGATGCGATTCCAGCGGGCGTCGGTGGGCGAACAACCCCCGTATGAACTGGGCCTTCACTTTATTCATTCATTCATTCATTGTGGCATTCAGTCAGTGAGTCAGTGGGAACCCGGCCAGCCCACTCACCCAGTTATGAGTGTCCTATGCCTTTCGTCCTATCGTCCTTTCGTCCTGCTTAGCAACAAGCGAAAAAATTCCACTTCGTGCCATAGGTAAAACGTAGTGGAGTGAAATGAAATAAAATTGGTGGTGCGTCCGATGCTCTGATCCCGAGATGCATCCCCCAAAATCGACAGTGTTTCAACCCCCGATTCGATGATTCACAGCGGTTGCAAATGCCGTGGAAAATTCCACGCGTCCTTAAATAAATACGCATGTACATAATGGATAACCTTCAAATGCGCACATAGGTAAATTGTAAATAATATTAAAGAATTTAAGTTGTTATATTTCATTTCAAGTGTATCTCTTCTATATTGCACAGAACTCCATCTACCTTGATTTGAAATTAAAATCCTTGATTTTTAATCCGAAATCGTTTCCCCAACATAAAAAAATTCTTATTTAGTTAAATTTCTGTAAAAATGTAAAAAAAACAGTCCATATAAGAGGACAAACTTAAGCTTTACCCATACTTAAAAAAGTTTTTTATTTCATATTAACTGAGTAAGCTTCTGTTAAATAAAGAAGATTTTTTTTACAATTAAAGTGAAACCCTCAAGGGGTATTCACTTGCAAACAGCTTTAAAACTCGGAAGTGATTCACCTGTGAGTGTCCTTCGCATCTCAGACTGATTACGAAACCAGGACGGTGGCAGCGTCTCCACTCGAGTACTTTCTGTTCCCATAATCATCTTAATAATTTCACAACTCATGTCTTTATTACATTTTTCCGCTCTCCCCCGTTTTCCGGCACCGCCAGCCCCACCGCAATATAATTTCCCAGCTCTCTGAGGAATTTTTTAATTTCAACAGAGCACAGAATCTTATGGCAAGAAAGCGGGGACTTGGCGCAAAAATAAGGAAAAGGAAAGAGAAATTGTATCTTCATGCGTGTGCCCCACGACGCATTTTCATTCCCTAAGTAGACGCATTTTGTCAAATATTTTCCATCTCGCGTCTCCTCCTCGCCACGTAGTAATTTAACCCCTCAGTGCTTTCGGTGAAGAACTTGGCTATAATAAAGAAGGAACCCTTCGCATCGCAGCAGGTGACCATCAGCCATTGATGGTGAAAGAGCAGCTTAGCTAATTTCGAGGAGGACCTTCAATCAGGCGTAAAGATCGAAGCCCTCGGGGCGGTACCAAGTAATATCCCATAATCCTGGCAGGGCAACAAATCAAGTCCCTGGTAATCCATTGGGGGTACACCTTGATTGAAGTCTTTTCTCTAAGACCTTTGTAACTGCGAAGGATCTTAGCCGTCTTGGTTTCGGTTCATTCGCTTTTCACTGAAGCAGGGAGAACTTTGATTGAAGACATTTTTCTTCAAGACTTATGAAAGGGAAGAAAACCTTTTCAATTCGTACTTATAAAGGTACCGAAAAATATAAGTATTAATTAAAGTATTGCGGAGAAAAGTATAATGAAATTTTTTCCTTAAGAAATAAATATCCTTGAGTAATTTATTAGTATTTTAATAATTTCCAAGATTAATTTAACTATTTCAAACATATTTGCCTCGTCATGCCCATTTGTATTTTATGTTTTCAAGATATTCCATGCGATATATCATTCAATCTATTCCAAAATACTTGTCGTCTTGCTTCGAAAATTTAAGTCATTTAAATGTTTTACTTCCCCATACAAAATAATTTCCAACATATTTTCTCTGTCACATTTATTTGTGTCCTAAGTATTATAGACAAAAATGGAACAATCTTCCCCTAAAACGATTTTCGGTGCCTGCTGCGCCTTAGATTTAAATATAGAACGGCCTTCCAACCGAACTGGGAACAGGTTCCCTGGTGCACCCACACACATGTTTACAGGCCAAACTAATTTTAGGTCCCATGCCATCCGACGGAAACATTTGAAGGTCTCCATCCTTCATCCAGTGCAGCTGCATGAAATCTTTAATTGGACGGCGTTGAGACCGATTGCCTCAAATTAGAGTCCGTTCTCAGAGGGGAAGCTGAAAAGGGTTGAATGGGATCCAGCCTCGATTCCCACGCACCTCCAAGCACAGAGTCGGTGGATGAAGAAAAATGTGCCACTAAAAATGGTTTAGCAAAGAAATTTATACAACAATTGGACAGTCTCCTTTTGTTAGCATTTGTAAACTGAAAAATGTCATAAAAAGGTCCTATACTTTTTGTTAAAAACACCGTTAACCATTGCTTTTGCCATTAAAATGGCTGGATTTTGATTTAATTTCTTTGGAGTTGCGCGTTTGGAAAATGGTGTTGTGGAAAAATATAATCTTTAAGTATCCCACATTTTTATTTACTTTGTTTTGTATTTTTCAAATAGCCCGAACTCAAACGTTCCAATGAAAAAACCTTTGATATGAATAATATGAGTAGACAATTTTAAAACAAAAGTGGAGTACCGAATATCTTAAAAATACTTAGATACGCTTTGAATATTATGAATAAAATATGTTTAATATAAAATCAGTTTACAAATATATTAGTGTGTTTTTGTTTGATTTTTAAATTTTTTAAATCTTTAAAAAGAAATCCGAATAAATACAAATGTTGAAGAGATTTAAATAAAAAATATACAAAAATATAAAATATAAAATATATATATATGTATGAGACATATTTGATATTGATCTTAATCAGATGAAATTGCTCTTAAATTAAATTGTTTCTCGGAGGTAAAGGGTATTCCCAGCTTCGCTCATCGAATCGAGCGGTTCTGATTTTGTGTAGAAATCTCTTCAACGTGTGCTCCAGCTACTTAGATTCGTGGAGATAGATTGCTGATTGCTGATAACCCGCCTGTCGAATGACAACAGCCGGCAGTTTTTGTCGATCTGCGAGCGAGCGAGTACTTCCAAATTCAATGCATGCGATTCAAGTGCCCGCCGGAGGTCCGTCAAATGCCGCTGCTCCCACCTCCTACTTGCCCTGCGTGACCTTTGCCCCCGGTCAAATTAAAGCGGCAGTGGGTGAGCAGCGGATCGGACCGCTGGTCGCCGAGCGGACCACCCGGCAGCGTTTCTTCTACGGAATCGAGGTGACGGCCAGCGGAGCGAATGGCAGGCCAACCTGCCTGGACTTCAACCAATTCCTGCCGCTCCTGCCGACCTTCGTGAGCGTCGTTTGGCTGGGCCAGCGGTACTGGGACGTGGAGCCGGTGGGCGAGGTGGAGAGCCTCCAGTTGGCCCACCACCTGGCCACCCACATTCCCGTGCTGCCCCACCTGTCCGCCTATCGACTAGAAAGCGAGCGACTGGATCAGTTCCTGGCCCTCAACTTCAGCAGTCTTCTGGCCGTTCGAGGCGATCAGGTTCACGAGGGCCAGACTTTCCGGATCAGCCTGCCCATGGTCGAGCAATCACGGCGGCAGCGAGGTGGTAAGTAAGCCATAAACCCTTAACAGAATTCTTCAACAATAAACACTGCGGTTATCTATTTTTGATAAAGTGTTCTTGATTATCCAACAAACGCAGAGATATTTTTTTTGTATGTATGAAAGTCATTCGTACTCTCAGATTATCGTCAACAACAAATTTGTAATTTTAATTGTAGCCTCTAAAATTGTGAGGAACAACGTGCTCTGGAATATCACGGTGGCACGTTGCAAAATTCAAATTTTTTAAACTTTTTAATTTGTCTGAGTTTTGTTTAAGGATTTTAGATATTTGCATATTTAGGAATATAAATTTGACAAAAAAAGGTAATATAATAAATGTCTATAATCCTACTTTTTTTTTATGTTAATAAAAATATTTAAATAATTTTTTTTTAATTGTAAAACGAGTTATACTTCTTATTTTATTTTATGTCTTTCTGCACAGAAAAAATTTCAATCTGCGTGCCAGGATACCCGGAGGGATACACTAGCCTAGGCGACTTTCCGCAGAATTCCACTAGAAACATGGAGTACTTAAAGGCAAAGGTGATAGTACCCAAAAAAAGCAATCTACCTCCATTAAAACCTAGTTTTTATTTTCCATAGATTGATGCTGGAGCCGATTGTATTATTACCCAGATATGCTACCGTCCCGAGGTCATAGTGGAGTTTGTGAAGGATTGCAGGGCAGCTGGGATCACGGTTCCCATTTTGGTGGGACTCATTACCCCCGAATCCTTTCGCTCCTACTCGCGGATGGAGCAAATTGCCGGTGTCTACCTACCAAGCGATCTGAGCGAAGAGCTCGTCCAGCTGCAGAGTCCCCAAGAAGGGGATACGAAACCTGACCAGGATCTGACTAAACAATTTTTCATCAGCCTGACAGTCCGAATCGTTCGTCATGTTTTGGATGCCGATGTGGGCATTTGGGGCTTCCACTTCTTCACACTCAACCGCTTTAGACCTGTCCAAGCTGTGCTGAAGGAACTTCGCGAACTACATCTGCTAAAGGATCCTGATCAGGCCTAGAAAACTAAAACTCTTTTATCCTTTGAATCTTTATTTATTTTTATAAATTGGTTTTTATTCGTATGCGGTCCCGAATTCTCGAATTTTGAATAGACAGCACCAGTGGGTGGTGGCTTTTTCAGAAACCCTGTGGCTTCCAGCTCCAAAAACTGTGTTTTTACAACCCCTTTTCCTTGACCATCGATGGGCTGCAGTGGAACAATGGCCAATGATGTGACTGACATGCCTAATGACCGGCGTTCGAGGTCTGCAGCTGCCCAAAAGCGGAGTGTGATGAATGGATGCGGAAACCCTTCCCTTTGCATATGCGAATTTCAGCAGCTCCGGTGCGTCATCAACGTCAGTCAATTTGACAGGCGCTTCAAATCGCAGTGCCAGAAATGCGTAGATATTTGTTGATGGCTCTTATCCGGAATAATAGAACTGTTGCGTCATCGCACCTTCCTTCGGGACTTGCCATCAGAGGGTTGACGCCCCTCCCCCTCCCCACCGATCCCTCGCAAAGACGCACTGAAAGGTCCTTTGACAAAAACAGCATTTGACATTTGTAACTTGCGGTTGATCGGCCATGGAGAAGGGATAAGTGCCGGCTTCCACACGTGGAGAAAAAAAGTTTATTATTTTTAAAATTTTAGCCATAATGTGATATGTACCTATGCATCATACCAAAAAGGAATGTTGAGGCAAAACCGCCATTTAACACTAATTTGATGATAAAATCGAATAATTTATTATTGTGAATACTTTTAAATGTACAGTACAATAATTCATTTTTTTTCATATTCCTTAAGATAATTGATTAAGATATAATTATTTTTATTTTTATCAGTATGCTATATTTATAATTATTTTTATATTTGTTCACAACTTAATCATTGAACTACTTTTAACATTTTAATATAAATCGGTGCTTTTAGCTTTGTTATTTCTATTTAATATTTTAATATAAATCGTTGCTTTTAGCTATATTGCTTCTCTGTGTGCACTTCCAAGGGGTTGACTTTCACCAGAGCCCCCAGATGACACAGATGGAATCGGGGCTAAAAGGTTTCGCTGCCACCGCTTCAAATCCGACGCCTGCTTCTTATTTTCGCTTATTTTCGCAGCTGTCGCCTGGGCCTGAAAAATGATTTGCGAATGCGAATTTCCTTCCTTTTCTTCCGGCTTTTGCTTGAGTTTGTTGACGCTCGGAGGTCGGGGTGGTTTGCAACTCCGCTTTGCAATTATTTATCGGCAATTAAGCCAAACAAATGACGCCGTTAGAATGGACAATGCGCACATTGCGCATACGCCATGTCTGTCAGTCAACATAACTCTTGGGATTTTCAGTTCGTTTTTGTCGGCTTTGTGTCAAAATTAAACTTTAAATTTTGCAGGGGCTTTAAAGAGTAGCACTCAGAGTTAAAAAAAAGAATAATAAAAAAAACACTTTAGATTTTTTTGGATAATGTTTTTGGCTAAAACTATCTCATTTACTTATTTTCCATTTATTTTAACACCGATAGAATTAAACTTTTATAGACCTTAATTTATTTTAAGATTTACCTACATTTATGTGCATAAATACAGTAATTGTCGATTTAAACTGACCCACTGCCGCAGATACAAATGTATCTGGGGAATACGTTCGAATGGATCGGAGAAATGCAATTTGTGCGGCTCATTTGTTTGCCTTTTCTTGGCCCCCTTTTGTTTAGCTGTTTCTTGATTTGCCATGCGTCGTTTAATTTTATTTCAAAACAAATAAGCGGAAAATGGGGAAATCTACGATAAATAAAACCAAACAGCGAGCCTATAAATCGCTGTATGTTTGCAGCCAAAGACAAGCAAAAGATCAGCAAGCAGAGGCTATAAAAAAAGTTTGCCAGCGATGAAAACCAGAAAAGTTAGAGAAAAAGTGCTTCGACTATAAGATACCCAATACTCAGAAAATGGTTTTGTAAATATGTTTTATATTTATGTTTAGTAACTTTCTTAAAATGGGATCGTTTTAAAATTTGCGGGTTCTTGACTCAGAATTAATAAAATGCATTTTGATCAAACCATCTCTTAAAAACTAATTAAAAATGTGTATACTTTTAGATTGAAAAAATATACCCCTTAAAAAGGTTTAAAAGAGAGAGAGAGATTTTAAAACACGAGAGTCACGTTCACGTTTCTCTGCCGCAGTCGCAGTCGGCAGAGGCAGCGATCAGCTGGGAGATCTCAGTAAATATTTGGTAATTTTTTCACAGCTGTTCTCCCTCTCTTTTCCGTTCTCTAATTCTCTCGTATATTTTTAGAAATATTATCGTATGTAAAACTCAAGAGTATAAACGGGTTGAAGAGTTCTCAAAAGTGAGAGAAATGAGTGAAAGACACTCAAGAGCAGAGATCATAAAGCGAAAAATTAATAGGTTTATTACACATTTTTAAACCGCATTCCCGGTGTTTCTTATTATAAGCTTAAATGGTTTTTAAAAAAGATTTTAAATATTCAGTTCACAAAATCAACAAAAAACCAATCAAAACCAAAAGAATGTAAAAATTCTACATAATATTTTTTTACTTGTTAAGCTCCGAACAATTAAGAGAATGAAAACCGAATGATTTCTCTTGAGTGTTCTCATGATCGAGCAAAAGTGCTGCTTAAGAGACTTCGCTAATTGAGAGAAAGAGCGACTTAATTCCACTCAATTTAATATCTCTTGAACGTTTATGAAGATCACTCAAGAGACCAAAGAGAATGGAAAACGAGATCATTTGGTGTTTTGTTGTTTCTTAAAAAAAAAAATATTGCAAACTAATTAAATAAATTTCTTAAATTTTTAGCAATTCCTTTAGTCAAAATTATATTTTTTTAGATTTTAATTAGATATTAATTTTATTTAGTTACATGTTTTTAATAAAGACCTACTAAATAAATATATTTGTCGATCGAAATAAATAAGTTATTTTCATAGGTTTTGTTTTAAATAAGACATTACTAAATTACAGAGGCTGGCGAGGTGTTACTTTGGTCAAAAGATACTTTCAGGAAAATGTCTTGGACAGCTTTGCACTATAAGGCAATGGTCTCTGCAGCAGCAACAACATCGGCAACATGGCTAATTTGCGACCTGCCCCACCGCAATTTGCATACGCCGCGTGCGTGTTCGTGTGCGCACTAAATTCGCATTCGCAGATACAGATACTTTTACAGATACACGAAGCGAACGCATGCAAAGGCGAAATTGGCAAAAGCTCATGCGAAATTTATGGCAATTGTAACAATTTTTTAATTAAATTGCAGCAAGACCAAAGTAAGAAAAGTGGCACCCATACGAGCAGCAAGTAATGAGGCTATGAAAAATGGCTTTTATCCGTGGACTTAACATGAGTTGCCATGCGGAAAACAGGCATTTAAATTTTTTTGTGTATAGATGATGTAATGGTGATTTTAATATTTAAATATTTCTTTTAATTGAATTTTACTAGGCAATTCCAATTGCTTAAAAATAGTGTTCAGTCGCTAAAATAAAATATAAACCAAATAAGTAGCAGCTGCTAATTGAGAGACACATGTAAAATTTTAACTAGATAGATACAAAAGTGTTTTTATGTATTCATGTACACAAGAACCGGCACTTGTCCGGCGGAAAAGTGTGGAGACTCTGGGCGGAATCTGAATATTTACCTTCTGGGGAACGAACACACGCACACATGCTCCGTTTGGTGGTATAATTTATGGCCAGACTCGAGAGCGATCAAAAATAAAATGATTATTTTCAGAAGGAAGCAACAGAAATAATAAAATCGAAGCGCTACGCAAATTATAAACAAACGTCAACGAAGAGTCAGCTACGAAAACATCAACAAGCTACGTAAGCAGTCCTATAATATTATATCAATTAGGATATACCGTGGAATCACAAGGTGAAGCTCCCTGGTTTAATTTTTTATAGTTTTTTTCATCGCTTCCACTATTTTAAAAATTTGTAAAGAGTTATAAAAAGAAGGTGGGAATATTTAAAACTATAATATTCGTATAATTCTAGAGAAAAACCATAAAAAAAATCAAGATTTTGGAAAATATTTTTTTAAGAAAATAAAATATTTATAATGGAGCCATTTATTCCTTTCTAGCCTAATATTCCCCGTTTATAATTTTTCCAAGGGACCCACAGCCCGATTGCAGTCCGCCTTTTGATCTTTTTTTGTTCTGCACGGTTCTGTTGCATTTCTCAGATAGTCATATGCTCAGATACTTGTACGCTTTCGAACGGGGGCAGAGATGTGTGTGGCCTGTCAGCAGAAGAATTGTTAGAAGAGAGGCGGGCAATGAAAGACGGCCGAAGAATTGGCAAACACAAACCGCAGGCGGCAGGCCAAATCGGAAGCTGCACTGAAATCGAAATGAGTGAAGAGGAAATCTCTACAGAACTGGGCAATCGTAAATTGGATTTGGCATTCGGATCGTCCATTAGCTTTTCACACAGTCTCTGACGCAATTCGCACCCATATTGCTATATAGCTTTCGCTTTGAGTTAAATCTTAAGACGGTTCTGCAGCAACTACAGCTGCTTTTAGCGAAAATAATATGTTGGATACCGAATAAAGTATTTTAGAACTTGAATTCTTTGTTAGGTTTTAAAGTTTCTGTATTGTAAAGAAAATTTAGCATTTCTAAGTAACTATCAGATTTTATACTCACATTCTAAAAATGTCGTGCTTCAAAGCGTCAAGCTTATTGAAATATATGTATTATATTCTGTTTTCAAGAGTACTTAATGTCGCAATGGGAATCGCCAATTATAAAAATATAATTTCATTTCATTTTGCCGCCTTTGCGCTTTTACGTAAGAGTCACGATATTAGCAGCAACAACAAAAACATTTTAAGGTGCACCCTAGAGATGTTACGATAATATACAAACACTTAAATAATATAATAAAATAGAGTTTTTAAGAAATGTAATATAAGAATTCGAAATTATTCTGTGTTTCCACTTTATAAGATGTTTTGTTTTATACATCAGAATTTTATTATTTTAAAATGCTTGTCTGGCCCGGTGTTTTAGAATGGATACTTATTTAAGTTGCATAGTATCCTCCTGTTAAATTACTTATTTTCACTAGATGAAACATAAGTTTAAAATTGAAAATATGCACACCGCTAGGACCATTAGAAAGGGGATAAGTCGGGTGTGGAGGGGAAAAACGACATTTGTGCCGCCTTTTTGCCTGCAATTACACGGCCAACGGCTAACTGCAAAATGGTGCTAGAGAAAAATACAAAAAAGGCAGCAACAAAAGCTAAAATAAAATCGAGCCAGACAAGCTGACGGCAGCGTGTGATTTTATGCCCGCTGCTGCCATATGCATAGGCGTAGATATGGGGGTCTCAAAGATTAGTTTTGGCTTAAAAAGTTAAATCAGCCATTAGTGACATAAACACGGCATTTTGAAATATATTTAATGAATTTTTTATTTTAAGTTGAGGTCAGTTTGATATTAATGCAACGCCTATGATGACTTGAAATGGTGGACTGTAATAAAGAAAACTTACATCATGTGGCTATTAGCTGATAAATACTCTACGAAATATATTATATGGTTTATTTAAAGTAAAATTTACATTTGATTTTTACCGGGATTAATAATATTATTTTTGGAAACATTTCACCTTTTGAAAAATGTAGTTTTGTGTAATATTTGCAAAATATTTTAGAAACCAAATTATGTCTATTTTATTATTCTGTAGTTAGAACACGTAAGTATTTCTGTAATAGTTTAAAGCAAAGTATAAAATAACAAAGTTCGTATGTATTTGTTTCACTTGCAATATGATATAGAAACTCTTTAACATTAACATCTTTAACATTTAACATCTACATATATTTTCAGAGCATTCTGTATTCGATTTGGGATAAAAAGAAATCGGCCGAGAGAGCGATCAGATCGAGATCCGTGCAATTGCAGGCCGGATCGTGGCACTTTTCACAACATCGCATGATTGATGATTAGTCATCGACCGGTTTCTCGATTGTCGGTCGCCCAGCAACAGCACGCGAGTTGAAGGTTCGGCGGATAATTATCGAAGCCCCAACGCCGGCCAGGCCAGAAAGTACTGTTAGTCACCATCGCCAGCAGCGGGCTTAAATCGAAGACCGGCTGGCCACGGTCTATAGTCGAACTTTTGCTGCCATTATCACTCGAACTTGTAAAAGTACAAATAAAATTGTACTTGCCTGTAAAATTTTCCGTTCAAATCACAGTTTATTTTATTATTTCTGAAGATCTTGAGTTTATTTCTATGGATCATTTTATTTTATATTCCAATCAAAATAAAAATAACATATTAATAAAAACTAGATTTATGGAATATGTGATATCACTTATATATGTTTCTACAATTAAAATAGGCGCCCACGTCAGGGAAATGTCTGGATAGTTTTTACCGATCCTTCCGGGCATGTGCCGCCGTTCCTTTGACGTAGCCGCTTACCTATGAACCTCTGAGCCTCCGAACCTCTGAACCGCACGTGTCGTCGTCCGATATTCCCTCCTACGTCACGGTTAATCGATGGCGACATCGGAGCAACGTGTCTTATTGCCTATGAACTACGTGACGCCTAGAACTACGTGTGGCTTGTCTGCGATCAATTGAGAAATGCGTTAAGTGCAAGTTCATGCAAATCATTTGTACGTCAAGTTTTTAGTTGATTAATTTCGTCAATATATTACATTGATTCACTATTTTATATCAATAAATGGGTGACCATACAGATTTTAATTTAAAATAATATTTTAGTTGAAAAAAGTGGAGAAAATAAAGTACATCCCATTAAAAAACCAAATTATCATATCATATTTCATACAATTTAACTATCAAACCAAAATACTAGTTAAGAATCTTAAACTAAAGTATCTTCAATGTATTTTACGTTTCCTTTGTGTTCTCGTTTCGGGGGGGATATAAAATATCAGCATCTAAAACACGGCACGAAACAAGCAATTAAACAATTGCAAGCCAATTGATACATACGCTCATTAATTAAATTAAATTGGCAAGAACTAACAAACCATGCACGCGAATGCAATGACTGATGTGAGAGCCCCACACTGCAAAAATGTACATCACAAGTTACATTTAATATATCTTAAAATTTAGTAAAAAGTAAATCGTTCTTTGAAATAGATATATTCCGAAGCATAAGTGAAAATAATAAGGTTCATTCGACTTTAAAATTGTTTTTTTACATAGACTTGTATTATTTATTTGAAATTTTATTTAATTGGTTTCTGTACGGTTTTTTCTGTGCACTGCGAGTAGCTGAATCAATCAAACCAATTAGTTTTAATGGCCCATTGCCCAGCGGAGTCAGCAAGGCGTCTCAGCAATTAAATTCAGTTCTCTGGCAATGCATGTGTAGCTTCTTACAGCAGCAATACAAATCTAGCGGGATCTAAAGATGTATATTAGTTAGATACAAAATATCAATAATATCAGTTTTAAGCAGTTTAGCGGGAGCTGTCGTTGACCTTGGGAGATATGCCCCAACGATCTTCAAACGTGCTGCTTATTCCAGGGAATTGATCAAACAATTCAACAGCTGTTCGCGTGTGCTAATCGAAATTTAACGGCTTGTCAACAATCCGGCTTCTGTTCAGCCCCAGATGATTTTAAGGTTTAGTAACCTTTGCACAAAGCCGTAGTCTAATTGACTTTGAAGAGCAAATTTGCTTTTGGCTGCTGTTCGTGCAAGAGCAGCGACCCAATTTTTATAATAAATTCCGAGCAGTCTCGTTTTTAAAACGAATGATACACAATGATAACTAAAAGTCACTGTAAACAGCAATTTTTTAATTTCAATTTTTGTAGATATACTTTTTTTAATATAATCCAATTTGGAAAATGAGGTACCTAAATTTTTAAAAGAATATCTCCAATGTTTGATTACACCATATTAATTCAGATTTAATGCTTTTCGTCAAGCATAATTTTCAATTTGAATTCCTTATGCAAAATATCCCAGCAATAACAACTTACTTATTTGCTAATAATATAATTTTACAAATCATCTGGCATAGAAACATAAGAAAGGAAATGCTTACAATAAGACATCATGTGGGATACACAAAGGCTGAATGACTGGAATGGGCTATTACCCATCTGCCTTTCCAGCAAACAATGGAAAACTGTCCCATTGCTCACTTTCGAAATATTGGCACAAGTGGTGTCCTGAATTTGTTTTTTGAAATCGGAGCCCACATCCTAACCAAACCGGAACCTCCCGCTGAAAGGATTGAGTGAAACAATGAATGAGTTTTCCAGAATCAGCTGGCAGCTGAGAATTCCGCACGTGACTGTAATAAAGTTGAATGTGGATAAGTTCGAATCCCTATGAATTCTGCTCTCTAGCAGCTGGCGTGGCGATGATCAAAGAATATGGAAAACAAAATAATTAGACTAGACCGATATACGTTTCCGACTTCTATTCAAAAGTGAGTTAGTTATAGTTAAATTCATTTTTAAAATTTATTTAAAGAAGTTGTATGAACGGGTGAGAAACTTATATATTTTATTTTTGCAATCCTAATTCCTAGTCTTAAATTAATATTTTGAAAAAATTGTAAGAGCCTTTAATCGCTGCCACTCCACCTGCGATGTCGGTTGGCTCGCCCCCACAGGACAAGATTCACGTGCTCACCAAAGAGATAGTAAGCAAAGCCGAGTGACAGGATCAGGGCGAAGAAGAGGATCCGCAGGGGCCAGTCGATGGCGCCCAGGAAGGGATAGACCCAGATGCCCGTGCTCAGCCAGACGTAGTGAATCCACATAAGATACCCTGCCATGAAGGCGCCAAGTCCAATGAATCCCCGCCTGCGTTCCGGATATCGATGCCGTGTGACTCCCAGTTCGACCAACGCGTAGATCACGACAAAGCTGTGCATGGTGTGGTTGAGCCAGTTGGGATAGACCAGGTCCAGCAGTTCCGGGTATATCGACTCCCTGTCGATGCCGTAGAGGGTCCAAAATGTCATGCCGACCGTTAGGGCCAGCGGCACCACATAGGTGGCCAGTACGTAGTCGCGCAGCCTTCGCAGCGACCTCTGCCGCACGAGGTCATAGGTCAGCGCCAGGGCGTAGTAGCCGAACTGCAGCAGGCCGCCCAGGAAGGTCATGTACTTGAACTTGCCGCCCATCGGTGGCTCCAGGCGCATTGTCACCGCCAATTGCGGCAGCTGCGCGAACCGGTAGTCGTAGTAGATGGCGTAGCCCAGGTGAACGGCGGCGGTCAGGTGCCACAGCAGGCGCAACCCATTCGTCCAGTTGCGTCGCTCCATTTCCGGATGGATACTAACTACTAACCCCTCCGTCGATTGGTCATGGCGCCATTGGGAAATCGGGTCCAAAATCAATTCGAAACGGGGAAAGAATCGTGAGCTGGAACGGTTGCATTGGACAAGGTGGTAGGCAACGATGGGAGACATGCTCGTACCTTATTCTGTACCTAGATCTGTTCCAAAAGCAAATTAAATAAAATTTTAAGCTAATATACTACTTGAAATATTATTACACATAAACAATAGTATTCTTAGCATTTGAATATAATCGAGCCTTGTTAAACTAGAATAGTGCTAGAAAAAACAAAAATTTGTTTAATTCTGAATTTAGGATACAATTTTATATTTTATAAATTATTATATCCGTTCACAGTATAGTAAAAGTATTTATTTATAAAAAAAAGTTAAAACGCAGAACATAGATTTATTTATATTTGTTTTTGATCAGTCAAGCTGAAAATATATTTATATTTTGTTTTATAGCCACCTTAGGAATAATGCAAAATGTGATGTTTAATATTTTTAGTCTTGTCTGAAATATAGATTTTTAACCGGGGGACGATTCACCCCAAGCTGGAATTTGCTAGAAATGCGGTTGAAAAAGATATCAACGGCAGTATATATAGCCTTTGGTAAAACTCAGTGTATCAATTTCTTTGTTAGTTTGATTTTTGACCCACTGCAAAACTAAAAGGTAATGTGATGATTGAAAATGGGGAGTTTGCTGAGAAAATAACAGGGGTGCGACCTTGGGCACAGCTGATTCGGCTGGTCAGAGCTACTCCAATTTCAAAACCAGATGTTGCGAAGGGTAGGAAGGGAGAAGGGAAGGCCCACCGACCGCAGGCAATCAAATGGATGTGTGCTCCGTAAATATTTGTTTGTTTTCCTTTGTCGGCAGTGCAGATCTCGGCGATAATTAGCCAGGCCCATCACCACCATATGTCCTGCGAAGAACCTTTGGTAAATAGTTAAATTACCTTTGGCTCGATTCGATTCGGCCATCTGACGGCCAAATAAATGTTTTCACAAGAGTTCCGCTAAAATTTTTACCTATACTTTCCTATCAACAACCAATATCAACTAATATATTGAAAACTATTGAAAATAAACAAATATTTTTAGTCGAAAATTAGGATGAAGAACTTATGGCAAAAAAATTAAACTTTTCTCTGTGCCGATTCGTTTTACTATAATTTTTAAATTTATTTAAAATATAGCATATTTTTATGAGAAAGTTTAATTGTTGGAATAAGGGTTAGTAAGTGAATTTTATCAGACCGGTTTTCAAAGAATGATGATTTTAATATTTCTTTAAATCCTCTAAAATACAAGTTTATTTAAATTGTTCAAACTATTATTATTCAAAATTTTGTTCTTCATTAAATCAACTTTATTTGCGGGTAGAAAATACAAATCAAAATATCTTTATAGAATATTAATGAGCTTTCAATGGCCGAACACACAGCTACCTTGTTAGTCCAAGTTAAGTCGACATATGTTTGGTTAGTAAGTCTTTGCTATACAAATTTGAGGGAGAATGATAAATAGTTGTCTGTTACTATTTATAAATACAATTTAAGCGTCTGTCAAGAGCGATAACGAAGTGGAGTTAAAAACGAAAGGAGTCGCAAAAATTGGATACCGTGACGCAGGTCGCTGGTTCGATGCCTGCGAAATATTTATAATTTCGATGTGTGCCTACGTAATTATGATCTGCACAGCCCAGACTAATTGGAGCAATGTTGTTAATTTTTTAAAGCCGTTGTCGGACACGTTTCGCTACGGTCATTGCGACAGAGTATTCAAATAAAGGCAGACGAATCTGGCCAAAATCTTCGCACTTGTAATGGGGTGTACAATATTTGACAGTCAAACATATCAATCTCTGAGGGGTTTAAACTCTGGTGGAGGTGTCTTGAGTGAGATTACACTACGAAAAATCTCTTGAGCTCCGGCGAAGAGTCTGTTTTAGGGTGTAAGAGAACAGAGCCAGGGTTTTTGTGAGTCAAACGAGCTTCACTCAAGAGAGCGAATTCCAAAAGGGGTTTGTTTTCCATACACTTTGCCCTCTCCTCGAGTCGTCTAGTTGAGTTGAACTCAAAGTATTGTTGACTATTACTTTTAGGTTCAGTTTCTCTACTGATATAATATGTATATAAATTTAAACTAACTACGAAAATTTGTTGGATCTTAACAAAAAACCTTTTTTATAACTATCAACATATTAGTTGAAAAATGTTCGCTAAAATATTTAAATTTGAAATATTTTTTTTAAGATATGTATATTATATATAGAATATAAAATAAAAGGTTTCCTTATTTACAAATTTAGTTTATAAGTCAAACAATAAAAACCCTAAAAATTTTAAAAGGAAAGTCACAAAATTTTATTATGTAACAAAAAATATTCAAATCATCTTGGTAGCTTGAAGCTCTGCAAGTAGACACCCCAAAAAACTTCCCGCATCTATTGAGACTGTCAAGCCCCAAAAACTACCGCATACACTTACATATACAACTCACAACCTTTGAGATTCAAATTCTATGCCCAAATATCTCCTAACCCCTTTTCGGTTGCTAAGAATTTTCTCTAATGACTTAAACGCGGTAACCACTAAAGCATTTATAGCGCATACGGTCCTGTTGTTCACTTCTCACCACTAAGGTAAAAACCGCGACGCCCCATAACATCCAACTCATTTTCCGTCCCCCTTGCCACTTAAAGGCAAAGAGTCGCATTTTTGCGCAAATTTTCCCCGAAACCGCAAGTAGAAAACTCATTAAGCGCAAAGCATTTCGGCGGCAAAGTAGGCTGGGAAATGGTAGGATTGGTATGCCATCGGAAGTAGAACTAACTTTGCCTGATCTACTTGTATAAGCGAATTCTTGAGGAGGTTTATACACAATCCTAATATTTCAACATAAAGTTGATAGAGAATGAGGTAAAAGTTACTGAAGCTGACGTCAGTTTATTGATTTTGTGCTGCAATAAAATGGAAACAAAGCATACATAATTTAATTCTTAGCTAAAAATTATTATTTTAAAAATATTTAGTATTTAAGTTATATGATTTAAGATAACAACCTAACATTATTGGTAAAAAAAAATAAATATATAAATTGATCAAAAGTAAATAATATATAATGTTTTCTTTCAAATAATATATAATGTTTTCTTTTAAATTAGTAATTTACATAATCATTGAATATTTAAATATTATCTTCACCTACTTTTTTTTTAAGACTCTGCCCACGATTTATGTTGTGTGTGTATTTTGCAAATTTGTATCTTTTAAGAGTGCTCACGATAATATTTAGATTGCGTGAACCTGTGTTTGCTCTTCAGTTGTGTGAGGTTGTGTTTTGATCGGATGGGGAAATGGTTTTCAGACGGTGGGATTTGCAGACTACACGTGTGTTGCCAAATAAATCCGCCATAAGCCCCTTTTCCTTGTTTCTTATTTTTTCAAGCGAGTTGGACTTATCCCTTTTTTAACATTCAAGCTGGCATACTTAAATTTCGGTCTGTAATATTTGAATTTCGGTTTTTTCCTCAGCACATGTCGCCTAATTCCGCAGTCAGGACATCACTTTGTATTAAAATACATGCAAATTATGTGCATACATAAATCGACGCATGTATGTAAATCCTAAATATTCAATAGAGCTTTTGCTGTCAGTTTTTTATAAACCGAAAATTTACAATTTGCTACAAAATGCTTTTTTTTTAAAAAAAAAATAAATTGTTTTATAAAATCGTTAAAAAATAAATAAAAGATGCTGGCATCCCTATAATAATGATTACACTGCTTTTTCCGCTCCAGACATTAAGTAAAGATTCGATGTCTCAGGCGAAATTGACATTTAGCTTAAATTACCAACTAGTTTGGCACTGAAAGTCATTGCCGCCCAAGGAGCTTTCCAGCAGCTCTCAAGGACCTGGCCAAGAGCCGGCTGCAGGATGCAGGATGCAGCTCGCAAAGGTCAGCCCAAGGACAAACATCCAGCGAGATGCACAAAAATCCAGCTTCCTATTAAAATCGATATTTAGTGCCACACGCAGTGATGCCAAAAAACGAGGAGGGTAAAAATTGCGGATATAAGAAAATCCGACAAATGCAAAAAGGAGAAGAAATCCTAGAAATCTTTTAAAAATAGAGATAAAGTTGTAATTAACAACTTTACTCGTTTTCAAAACCTCTTTATTTTTTATTTTTAGAATATATTTTTCTGTCCTAAAATATAAATAATATAAGCAATCTTCAAACATTTTTGTGTGTATGATTTAGAAATGACGAGCTACCGACTTTGATCAAGGGTCTTTACTTATATGGTAAAACCCCTTTTTGTTATTATGAAAAGAAGCTACTTTCGCATAATTTTTCCAAGTTTTTGTGTGACAGCACTGAACGGAATCAACAGAATCTAGCGAATGGGGCGCGGTAAGAGTATTTGCATTAAATTATGCGACGAGCTGCGGAAATGTTTGGCATCAAATGAAGAAGGACCCGAGCAACGGGGGCAGATGGGGAAAAATCCAAGATGAAGGCAGTACTGCGCACCGTTAAGTGCGGCGGAAGCAATTTCACTCTTCAGCACAGGGAAAACCAAAAAGGGAAATACAAGTAAAGCAGCCACGACATCGCAGAAACAAAACAAAAATGTAATAGAAATCCTTCAAACATCTGCGAACCGCTCACTTCACTTCGCTGTTCGCTGTGAACGAACACCCCCGCAGAAAAACCCCAGCATCCTTTGGTCCTGTATTTGAATACATAGAAAGGCACGTGTGTGTGCTCGCATTTGTAATTGTTTCCTTTTTTGCTTTACGAGTTTTTCATGTATCGCACAATGTGTCACCGCCCCGTCCTCCAAGTCATCCAGCGTTTCACTAATAAAAATACATTTTTCCCTTTAAATTAAAAACTCATTTTTGATTTTCAGCAGGAAAGGTTTGCAACATGCGACTCTCTTGAAAAATTTTGTCTTGTTTGTTTGGAAATAGT